TCAGGACCAATAACATTGCAGATTCTTCTTTGGATTTTATCAATAATCTCTAAATATATAGCAGGAGCACCATACCAGATGTGGTTAGAAAGATACCGATAGATAGAAGGATCAGATTGTTCACCTGAGTTCTTAAAGGCTGGAATTCCAGAAGAGAATTTATAACAAGCGGGAAAGCTTATTGTAGGGTTTACAGAGAACAGAAGACAATTCAGGAACGCATTTCTTAAGGACTACTGCAGGGATACCATGGACGGAGTTATATGTATATCACTCAGTAAACTCGGGAGGGGGAAGGTCAGGCTAAGGTACTCCAGATGAGTCAAGATTAGAATTTAAAGAGACCGTACGAGCAAAACATTATACTTTATCAGCAGATGTTAAAACTTCAAATTGAGTGAAGAGAGGAGGGATAGAAAACTTACATTTATTTAACGCACTATTACACAGACGCCAGTAGTCACGTGAATCAAACGTGTTAGCGTCTATGTGGTACCTTATTCTATCAGCAAACAAAGACTTTACAATTATTTCAAGCAGTCACAAATAGGCATCTGTTGTGATCGGAATTATCCCGCTGGTGCACCCGGAAAAAGTGGTTTCTATGGGCTATAGCGGCTGAACAGACTGCTGTAAACCAAAGAAAAAAATTTTCGTCTCACCTAATATTTGTGATAATGTACAAAAGCTTTAACCCAAGAAGAAACCTTTGTGGTATAATTCTCAATAGGAAAGTTAAGAATATCCAACCAAACAGCGTCTCGAATAAAGTCACGAAATGAATCCCAAACAATATGCTCGTAACAGAAAGAAGTCTTGGGAATAGGAAGTTCATGATTAATAGATGAGTCAAAAGAAATATCAATAGATACTACAGCGTAATCTGAACGAATGCCACGAATATTGGAGAACAAAAAGTTGAGGAGATAAGTGAATGTTTTGGTTTACTGGTTTACACGTATTTCTTTTCATTATATCTGTCATAAGAAGATTTATTGTAAGAAGAAAAAGGCAAAAACAAAAAAATAACAATACAAACTGGCCAGAAGGTAGCTATGACTATAGCATAATGTGGCCTCAGGGTTGCCCACTGGAAATACATGCATGGACACTTAACTAGGCGCGATATGTCTTTACTACCAGCGCGAAGCAGCAACCAGAAAACTGACAAACAGGCACCCTCATAATGAAATGTCGCAGCCATAGTCAGATCACCAAAAAGTTAAAACAGTTAAATCATTATGGCCAAAGAAGAAAGAACTGGTAAACCCTACCCTAAACAAGTAACAAGGATAAACCTCTACTCCTGTTCAATAAACATGGAAGCAGTACTAACCGTGAACCTATCTACTCCTGTTAACCTTATTACAGAACAGGTATATATATATATATATATATATATATATATATATATATATATATATATATAGTTAAGTTGTGAAAAACTTGGTAATCCGTATGGGTAGTCCCAAGGAGGATGAAATCCTGAGAGCTCAATGTAAATCCAGAGCTAATTAAAGAGAAACAGACCACTTTAAGACTCCATTATAATAATTTATTTCACCAGAGCCTTTTAAAGGGACGTTGGATCATCAGATAACACTTCCCAAAAAACTTTTTGGGAAGTGTTATCTGATGATCCAGCGCCCCTTAAAAGGCTCTGTGTAATAAATTATTATAATGGAACCTTAAAGTGGTCTGTTTTTTATTTATATATATATATATATATATATATATATATATATATATATATATATATATATATATATATATGCATGTATCCAACACAAGAATATATTCATCTTCAACTCAACAAACTGGTTAATGTAGCTGACGTGATGTGGGGTTTGGGGTGTGTGATTGTCAGTGAAAAACATATATTAAATAAATATCTTGCATTTTTATTAATATACTTTATCTTTCTTTCTTCTTTTTTTTTTTTTTTTTTTTGTCGGGGTGTAACATGTCCAACCAGCAGTCCTTCTTAATACTGATGTACAGTTCATCTTTTCAATAATAGCAACAGAATATCAACTCACAAATCAGAGAAACATACACTATGTTCTTTAGATTAAACTTAAAACTAAAACATATTTTCTGTATTTTTTGTTAACTGAAACGTTTTAAAAAATAAACATTTTCTTTACAATAAAACTTTTAAACATAAATATGTTTTCTTTTACTTTTAAATATCAAGCCTAAAAATATAAAACTGATTTTTCTCTTTCTAGATTTTTCTTTTTTAAAATAAAATTTTTCTGTACTTGCGTTTTTTGGCAGTTCAATTTTTCTAACAAGATTCGTCTGTTTAAGAATAACATTATACTATCTTTTTTTGTGCGAACCAGCATAATTTTTTAAAAGTGCACCATCTCTCTGATGCCCTTTTGCTGTCTCCTTCTTTTTAATAAAGAGATCTATTTTAACGGAAATTATATCACGTCAACAATCAGTAAGCTAATGTGTTCAGTATAACACTACAATGCCTCTACAAATTGATGACTACCTGTAACACAAAATTAGTACACGAATCCTCAAAGGAAACAACAACACATATAAGAAAATAAAAATTAATCTACAAAAATTAATTACATGCTCTTCAAAATTCTTAGTGAATTCTTGAGTTTTTTTTTTTTTAACTTGATTCACCATTAAGCACACTCTGTTGCTTCTTGTCTGGTACATACTTTTTCATACGTTGGTACAACTCTTTTACAACTTCTTTCCTATGCAATGTGTTCAACTTACCTGGCCTGAAAAGTATAATGGCCTTCAAGCAAGCGTATTCAGTTGCATCTACATGCAGTTCATTACATCGTGAAATCACATCCTGCATCAGTTGCAATTGCGACATCATAAATGAGGCTTTTTCTGTATGTTGTGAATCTGCACTCCAATCATTCGCAGTCAAAAGGGAGGCTGAAAAAATATGTTATTTTTAACAAGTGCTTTCAAAGTTTAACTTTACTTGTAGGATCCGGAAAAAATTCTACTAGTTTTTAACTATTAATTTTGCTGATGTCAATGATTTGCTTTTAATAGAATTCAATAAAAATAATAAATTCAGAGGCCAACGAAATATTGATTAATTTAAGAAACCATTGCACACATCTTTATGATATCGATGGTTCAGTAGAGTTTTGAGGAACTGAAAATAAACTTGAATAATACGAAAGATTTCATTGAAATAGTTTGAAGTGGTTTATTCCAGCAAGATAACGCATGCTCCTATTGTGATTGGGTGACACGGAACAAGAAACATCGGGGTTCCAGATACTCTATTGACCCCAGCGCTTGATAGATTTAATCCCCATTGAGTATATTGGACACATCACTAAATTCCCTGCATGGATATATTTATCAAAGCATATTTCAGGGCTGTACATAATTATGTTCAGCCCTGGAATGTGCCTGGATAAATATACCCATGGAATTACTCTAGCACATCCTAGACACCATGCTACATTTCGTAACCACCATTATTCAGGGTAAATACACGTAATTATGTAAATGACTCTAATTTTTTGCATTTCACTTTACATAGATAGGAGTTTAGTCTGGCGCTGTTTCAAATAGGAAGAACAGTAAGTGATGTTTTAATTGATGGAAAAGCCTTCCTTATAAAATATCGGTTTTTATTTATTGAACATCGTCTGTAAATCTGTAACTACCTCAAAAACCTCCACTAATGATTCCTTAATACGGTAATCTTTTTCCTCTGTTAAATAGCAACCTACCAAAAATAATTTTATATCTGTTCTAAAATATATAAAAGCTAATTCTTTTGCATCCTTGAATGTCTATTTTTACAACAAAAATTTAATTTCAAAATTTTAAATACATATGATACGACATATATAATGTTCAAGAATTGGTCAGATTATGGAAAATTGGTTGACTCAAGAACCTTTCAGCAATTCCTTGTAGATAATCAATACGCTCAGGCAATTGCCGATAAAAATGTAAATATTAACTTTTAAAACTATCGAATCGTTGGTTTGGTTGAAATCGCGTAACTTAATAATGTTTCCTAATAAAAAAAATTAGTCAAGAATATTTTTGTGCATTTTTCCCCAACAACAAAAATATGACTAATGAACAGATTTTAATTTATTTTCTTGCGGCGAAGTGTTACTCTATGTCAGATGCCATTTGTCTGGATGTAAACTAAACATATCCGTTGATAAAAAGTAAGTTCCACTTAAACAGCTTCTTCCCTAGAACTGTTACTTTGTGGAACAAACTCCCGAGAGAATGCTTCCTTGGGTACTACAATCGTGGTCTCTTTAAATCCAGGTTCGACCTATATTTATCCTACTTGTCCTTAGAATAGTCTCTACCAGCATCCTTCCTCCTCCTTTACAACTCTCAGTAACCGTCACTCAATAATCTCACTCAGTAACCCTCTACCTTGAGTGACCCTTTGGCCTTGTGCTGGTTGAACTAATGGTAAAATAAAATACATTCATTCAGTTTCATATTCTATAAAAGTAATCCTACAATATCTGTTACTCGCCCTACACAATCAATTACACAGAGAATTCCTGTGTGCACGCGTACGAGGTGCTAATAGTCTTAATTGAGATCAAGCTTACAAAATCCTTATACTGCATTTCATCCGACATTGACGCTTCCAACTCTCTCATTCTCTCTCTTTCTCTCTCTCTCTCTCTCTCTCTCTGTGTGTGTGTGTGTGTGTGTGTGTGTGTGTGTGTGTGTGTGTGTGTGTATCTCGCACTTTCTCTGTATCTCTCTCGCTCTTTCTGTCAGAGAAAGATTGACTTTCTTCTAGTCAACCTACATCCGTCCTTCTCGATATAATTTAAAACACCCTTCAATTCTTCAATCCAACATTTGATTTTTTTTCCGTTGACCAAATGAAGTTAAAGGATTCCCACGTTTGCATTTAAAATTTCAAACTTCATACGCATGCTCAAAATGACCCTTCTTGCAGTTTTATACGGGGGTGAAGAAATTTGCCACAGACCAAAATAAAAACGCTACTCACAGACGTCGATCGGCAAAGACCACTGTGACGTGCTAAGAATGAATAGTTCACACCAGGCTTCTTCCAATAAAATGGCCTGATCCCGGAAGGGCTGTTGCAAGAACGATGGAATGTTTCGAGCCCATTTAACCGACATGAACAGTAAGCGAGCAGCTGTCTCAAAAACATTCTCCTGGGATATATTGGTGGCGCTGACGTAGATATTCGGATCAGTCACTTGATTCAATAGACTAAGTGGAGGGACGGAGTATGATGGCGGGCTCATATTCAACGCAGCCGACGGAAGAACTTTATGTGGAGAGAATCTAGATGAATGCGAATTGGTCGGAATTGGTGCCGCTTTGGCAGAACTAGTCGTTGTACTTACAGAGTTCTCTTGTGATGTCGTGCTGGATGTGTCTAAAGAGATAGAGAGACAAACACACACAAATTAGATTATAGCAAAAATGGGAAAGGCAAAACAATAAACAAAGTAACCGTCTAATCATTAATGAAAGCAGACATTTAAATGCGTATGTTGATTTTTTTTTTTACTATATTTCATATTAGGAGTATACTTTTTAAAAATAAAATAATTTACCTTTCTTGTGACCAATTTCAAGTTAAATACAGCAATGCTGAAAGGAACTATTCTGAATAAATACGAACAATGTAAATGTCAATGACAAAAGGAGAAAGAACACTATTTATTTTATAAGCAACTCGTTTATAAGGCTTTATATACCTACCTTCCTACCTACCTCATCGACCTCAGTGGAGATCATGGATGCACAACCCCATCCTGAAGTTAATTGAGAAACCCTTAATTTTCCACATCACTGTACAGTATATGCTTCGCAAAGACTACATACCGTTTTGAATTCAGAGTTGCTCTACTCTTAGACTGATTGTCAATCATGACTGGAGAACGCATACATTGTTATTATTTAACTCATAACTGGTTTATAATCACCTGTACTCAAATTTGGTTAAATCTTAAGCAAATCCATTGCTGGCGTCAGTTGGGCTTAAGAAACTCCAAAAAAGTAAAGAAAAACACAAAATTAAGCAAAAATAGTTATTAAATACGTTATTTTCTACTGAACACAGTATAAAATAACGTAGAAGAACTGGCAGAATATTTGAATACAAAAATGCTATTAATTTAGTTTCATTGAAATGTCTTTCTTTTCTATTTACTAGAATCAAGTGTAAAACATTTAAGTAACCATTTATTCAACTTGAGTAGTAATTCTTGTGCAAAATAAAATTAATCAACCCAAGGACTGGTTGGAATTCTAAGTTGCTTACAAAAAAGTCATGTATGGTAACGCGAATCATAAAAAAAACTAATATCTTCCAAATAATTGTTCTGATTATTTGAACACATTGTCTATGCTTATGTTTTTATCATAATCTTTCTGTTTATACATATGAATACATATATGTATATACATATGAATATATATATGTATATACATATGAATACATAAATGCGGGCGTGTGTGGGTTTATGTGTGTTGTTGTAGGATCCACCTAATTTGCATAGTGGAGTACCGACCATATAAATATGGTTGGTACCGGGAAGACGAGGGGAGGAATCCAGAGACTCTGCCCGACTGCGACTAAGTCAACACATTCTCCAGGAACGGTCTTCCCAAGAATATACAAAAGACTATATGTAAATATTGTGTACCTTTCTTGTTTCAATACATTTTGTTCTAAGTACATTTTGTGTTGTATTATTATTCCATGCATTAGTCAAGTTTCAACAATGTGCATACGTAACTTCAGGGTGGTTTGATAGTTTGAAATTCAATCATTTTTAATCATTTCACCGAAAGCAAGGTGATAAAGCCACTAAAACGCAAGGAGTTAATGTGAGTGAAAGAATATGAGAAAAAGAATTACATTATTAAAGAGAGAGAACAATAAAAGAACAGTAATCAAGAAAACAGAAGATAACGCTTGGCATTGCATTTAAATTTTGAAAATCAAAGTTGCCTGGAAAGCCTGAAGAGATTTCCACAAGCGAGAAGTGTAAGAGAAGAAACTGCTAGCATAGAATTTACGGTTACATCTAACAATTTCAATTATAAAATGATGAGACCTAGCTGCCAATGTAGTACTGCGTTTAAATCCATGAATTCTACGTACCAAAGAGGAAAGGACTTAAGAAATATTTAGCATGAAAATATTTATAGAAAATGCGCAGGGAAGCTACGTTACAGTGGTGGGAAAGTGACTGAAGTCCCTCTCCTGGTGGTTAGCCTCAGCCATATTGATGAAAAGCAAAAAAAGGTTCTGTAAGACAATTTAAAAGAGAGCAGTTTCGTTTTGGAGACGTTAAAATTAACAAGCAACAGATTGTGGGTAATTTCTGAGATCAGCTGCCAATTTGACATTATTAAACTGATCAGACTTTCCAGTAAGATGTGAAACGGCATGCACTATTAAACATATATTAACCGAGTGAGGACAAAAATGCTAAAATATAAACAATATGTATGAGGTCTTCGAAAAAGTAAAAATGGTGACAGTATTATTTCTCAAAGCAGTGAGCCTATACTAAAAAATGTAAGCCAAATAAGAATGTCAATAAAACCAACCTCGCTACAAACTATATATCTGAAAAGAATACATTAAGGAAACTAGGCTTTCTACAAAGCCTCTTTACAAAAATCCGTCAATGAAAAGTGATTTCTTACAAAGAATACATATTCTATTCATACGAACCTATTCTAAAAATTTTGTCGGCATTAAATAACCCATTGCGGTTGATATACCGTAAAACAAAATAAACCTAAAGCCAGGAGAAAATAGTTGTGTCATCTGCATAGATACTGAGTTGAAACCTGATGATATCGGAAAGGTCGTTGATGAAAATTAGGAACAATATGGGTCCAAGGATAGAGCCCGGGGGGGGGGGTGCCTACATTAATGCAAAAAACAAAAATGAATGAAAAGAATTACCAACTTGGAGAAGTTAAATAAATTCACGTAGGAAAAGGAAATTGATTTCAAACTAAAGCCAAATGTCTTTTCGTTCAGTGATCAATTAAGCGTTGATAAAGGTTACAATATTAATGACAAGTTTTCAGCCACCAAATTGACAAATGTTCCTTCATTGCTTTTAATATGGAATTTTCTTTGATCTATTTGTTGCAATGCTGTAAATATGATGACACTTGCAATTGTTTATCTGTTATGTGACTTTCAGGAAAATGTTTGAACTTTACATTCGCACAAACATCAAAATCCTCAACTGCGTTAGTAATCTTTTGTAACATAAAGAAAGAATAAAATTAGCCAGTTTCTATTTTTGGTTTCATTTACCGACAGAATTGCAAGGTACGATCTCGAAAAAGTTGAACATTAACGTTTGAAACATTGAGAAATTCAATTTGAATAGTGGGTAGATTTTTCTAACAAAAGGTAAATAATTGTTAATACCTGAAGAGTTTGAATCTCTCTTGCTTCTCTTCACGAATGGTGATGACATGTTTCTTCTGTCATCATCCAATTGTGACGTATAAAGATCCTTGATATTGCTCCCTACTTGTCCTACATCGACACCAGTTGTGATATCATCGCGAAGAAAAACAGGACTGTTACTGTAAAGTGACTTTCTGTTTCCAGCTCTACTGTCGTATCTGATGTCCTTGCTGGCAAATGAAGGCAGCGGGGGCGGAAGTAACCGTGATAATTGAGTACGAAAGCTTGGGACATGAGACTGTGGGTAATGATGGGTCTGTGAAGGTAACATTGAATCTGTGGCTGCTCGATTCGGTTCTGGATTCAAGTGAAGGGTGACTGGCTGAAACAAGTGACCTGCAGTATTGTAACCAATGCCAGAGTGCATGCTTATCGGTGCTGAATAAGAAGCATATTCGAGTCTATTAAAGAAAGAAGGTTAAAATAAAGATACATTAATTGGCTTCAAAATCAAACTATCCAATAAGCAAGTAGATTGTCAAATTTCTTTACTGTGTCATTCTAAATGATATGCGATAGTATTTACTGGGTTACATGGTACCAGCAACAAGATTTAATCCTCTTACCTGACATTTTGGAAAAGTACATTTGATGTGCACTAAGCCAACTGTAATGTTACACTAATTTACTTACCTTAGTTTATATTTCCTATCAACATTCATTCAAATTTTCAATATATAATTTTATTGGCTTCCATAAGTGTTAAATGATTTTTTTGAAAAAGCTAGAACAAAAAGACGAATATGAATACAACTGTGGAAACATATCTGATGAAATGTTAGTTCTTAAATTGTCCCTTTGACCTACAATAAATTTGGGTATTTACAAACTATGTTCAATTAAAAGACATTTTATTGTACTTCTCCAAATACCTACATACAAAATAAAAAACGTCGAAAAAGCTTGAATAAAATCCAGTAAATTTCTCTCTTTGCACACGTAGTAAATCTATATAACTTCTGCTATCAAACAATGGCTTATATTTACCATTGATTAAATGATTGATATGATGATATCCAATTGAGTAACGTCGATTTTGCCTCTGATTAACTGAAATCGCTTGGTTACGGTTAGTTACTATCTTTAAAATTAGGTTTTCTCTCTCTCTCTCTCTCTCTCTCTCTCTCTCTCTCTCTCTCTCTCTCTCTTTCACTCTCGCTCTCTTTCTCTTTTGTATAGTACCATCGTCACCGACCTGGCACAAGAAATAGAACTGCAAATTTATACTTTGACCATTGGGCTATGGCTACCAGATTTGAACGATTACAATTTTTTTTCTTTTTTTGTTTTTGTTTTTTATTTCAACTTACCTTGGATGGTCCAGATATTTTGTTATTGGAGTAAAAGAGACAGGATTGGGTTCAGTAGATCGTTTGCCCAAGACAGGGCTAGGATGGCGTTGCTGAAATGATCTAGGCGCCCTCTCGTGTTGAACGGCTACAATAAATGAACAAAAATGGTTGACAACCAACGATTTTCTGCACAATAAGGGCAAGGAAAAATAAAGTATACTTATTAGGAAATTACATCATAGAAAGACGCCGGTGAAAAATATCTCTATTTTAGTTAAATTCCATCAGATAAATTCTGTAATAAAATATTTGGGAAAAGGAATACACAAAATCTTATTTATGTCTGATTCCTGTACTAATTATCTTGAATTTTACATCTTCCCAACTAGACGTGTATATGAATCATTATGATCGAAATTCTTCAGTAAAAGATCGGGATAGAGTCTATCGTGTTAGTGACATTACTAAACTTTCCTTTTTTGGTGAAACATGAAAATAAAAACTAAAATAGTTATTTAGTCTATGAAGTCTATGAAGTTTCATCAAGATTAATAACATCCTATAGACCTACAACCTTGTAGAAATCAGACATTTCACTTGTCAACAGGAAAATACAAAAAAAAGCATAAATTATTTTTATTGACCCATATTAATATCATTGAGCGAGAAAATTATATTCAAAGCGATTGTCACCACTTGGAAACTGTCTATGTAACTTTTGATATGAATATTTATAAACAAATGTTTGAAAATTTTGCTTATATATATATGTTAAATTTCTCAGAATAATTCTGAAGATAAGACAATTTGGATAATATATATATATATATATATATATATATATATATATATATATATATATATATATGAGATAACTATGTATATTTTTATATATTTATATTTTTGATATACCAAGAATAGTATTGAAAATTGCATGACAAAGTGGTTAAACGTTTACTTGCGACACGTTTCGTCCTTCAGGACTTCATCGGACTAAATTTGTTATATTGGTGTAGTGTAGTCGTACTAACATAAAACATTTAGTTCGATGAAGACCTGTGAAGTGAAACGCGTCACAAGTAAACTTGTTACACTTTGTCATACAATTTCTCCAATATATATATATATATATATATAAATAAAATTAATAAATAAATAAAGTTTACTAAATCTGAGAAATGACTTAGCTAGTTTTGTAGTAAGTGCCATTAATATTACTTAAATAATATTTAAATTTAAAGAAAGAAAAAAAAAAAAAAAAAAAAAAAAAAAAAAATTTATATATACTTTGATATGGAAAAATAATCTTACTTAATATGAGTAATTTTCCTTCTGTTATAAAAGTAATATAGTCTATTAAAACTAAACAATGAAAATATTTTAAAATTTTAAAGTTGTAATTTTGAATTTGTAATTAAAATTGTAGTTAAATTGAATGAATTCTAACCTAAATTTCTTTTAAATAATACTACACGCATTAAAAAGAATCCAAAATAACACCTATAGTAAAATAAAATTAATATGAAATACCATAACATGTAAGCTTTTGAATGACCCATGTCCTCAGTACTTACATGTGAAATATTATAATAATAGGTTTATATATAAAAGAAAAGTTTACTGAATCAGTGAAATTAAGTAACCATTTCTGCTGTCATAGTCATATACAAAAAAAAAAAAAAAAAAAAAAAAATGTAACCTCATATACATACTTAAACTTAATGTTAAAATAATCCTACATAATATAATGGATTCTAATACATTTAACTGTTCTTAAAAAGAATATAGTAAAATAAAAATTAAAAAGGAAAATATTTCAAATTGTAGTTAAATAAAAAGTATTGTAAAAAAAAATCTTTAATTTTAAAAGATGACGTTGAAAATTTTTTACCGTTAACAATTTTTTTTTTTTTTTTTTAAATTCAGACGACATCCATTCAACTGACGTCAGGTTTCAAAAAATACATCCTCACCCTAGCTAATAACTGATACAATGATACTGTCATAAGGAAAATCTAGACACCCCGTGTTCAATTTGAGTAGAATATTCTGTAACCATGGAAACGTGATTTTAGCTGTGTATTTAAAACCCGGTAAATTTTAAAAGTTACTCCAAAATTCGCTTGAAGATGAAATAGAACTAATGCTTTAATTTATTTGCAAAAAATAAAATTAGGGTTTTTAGTTCTTTTTTGAAACATGGTTGAAACTGTGTAAATAAAAATAACCATATTTTAAATCAATTAATTTATAATATATATATATATATATATATGTGTGTGTGTGTGTGTGTGTGTGTGTATATATATATATATATATATATATATATATATATAATCATGCAGGAATTTCTGTTTGAAGCGGAAGTGGAAGAATAATTATGCCTGAATTATTGAATCTACTGCTAGTTGACATGAAGTGAGAAATTCGATGTTTTGGAGATAATTTGTGATTTTCAATTGCTAAAGAGAATAAATGTTACAAGAAACTCAGGTTGCAGGTTGAAAAGCATCTTATTTTATATTTTTGTTCTTATTACAACTAAACGTGCTTATAAAATAGGGTTAAAAAAAATGATAATATCCGGCCAGCACAACAATAAGAACATTCGTTGTTCGATATTGGCGTCTCAGTCACGCGCATGCGTGACTCTCTCTCTCTCTCTCTCTCTCTCTCTCTCTCTCTCTCTCTCTCTGGGTGATCAAAAATATTCATTTGCTTCCTTTTTTGAGGATAGAATTTCTATAAATCCTTCTTTTAACCATTTGCGCAGACATCTTGTCATTGAACGGTACTTTCCATTGTGAAAATCAGGAGTAAGTTCCATGGACAGTTGGACCGTTGAGTCATGAATGAGAATGGGTGCCAGAAGCGGGTAAGAGAAGAGATGTTGGATGAAGGAAATATCGTTTGCAAATTGTTCTCATCTTGACAGTACTCCTACCTCTTCTTTTCCACACCCTCACTACCAAAATCGGCGTCTTGTACTGTCAGGTATTTGATCCTGTAATTGGTTGGCTGCTAACTTCTCACGGCGGCGATAAAAAGAACTCCTTCCTGAAGACAAACTGTCAAGAACAGGGTAATTGAACTAATTTGTTGACCCTTATCACACATACACACACAAACACACACACACACACAGAGGCCGCTTTTCTTCGGACCATTGACCCCTATGCACACATTATTACAAGCTCATACTTTACATACACTTAGATATAAATGTGTGCAGACACATACATACATTCATATCGAGTAATAAGTACGCTCTATAAATGAACGTGTACGCACACGTACTTTACACACGCATACATCGATATCGAATGAGCTTCGAAAATCGAATTGTGAAATGATGGCGCTGTAAAATCTTTCGAAAAGCATGATTCTACTTGAAACGCTAGGCCATGACGATTGTGTTTAAGCATGAAACAGACTGTCGCCTCTGGGTGTTGACTTCAGTGTCCACTTTTATATTTAAATGCACTCTATCCCTGATATTAACCCATAAATATAGTATACTTTAAAACTATATTTTATCACACACACACACACATATATATATATATATATATATATATATATATATATATATGTATGTATGTATGTATGTATTGAGCTGGGTAAATCAATTAACTAGATATTAGCAACCGTATATACGCGCGTTAGCGTGTATACACAGGCAAGCAAATAAATATTTACTCAATTTACTTTAAGGTGTAAGCAAAACAGTGCCCAATGGAGTTAGACAGAGCTAAGAAATATATATATTAAGAAATATACATATACCTACGTTCGAAACGGGGATATTAAAACAGATGACTACACATCGGTAGTAAATTTTGATTTTGTCGCCAAAACTACACCTTTTTCCGGACTCGGTGACCGATGCAACCTATGTTTGCTGGAAAAGAGATTTATCCTCAAATATATTAATGACCGAAATCTACTTAAACGAAATGAGCTAATTTTAACGTCTATTATTACTTAATGTGTTACCCGGCGTTCCTTTTTTAAACTCTAAGCTTGCTTTTTTTGTTGTTTTTTTAATATACCCTATTTTCTGTATTTATACCCCAATATTATTTTTAGCATTTTTTTTTAAATTTGAGCTGTGAATCTGCGTGTAATTTAGCGTTCCTCCCATGAGACTCAGTATTTTTCTTTCTTTAAAAAATCATAGGTAATAATTCGTGCCTGATGAGCTGGTAGAACAACGAAACTTAATTTGCACTTCGAACGTAGGTATATGTATATTTATTAATATATATATATATATATATATATATATATATATTTCTTTTCTAGAGCAAGAAATTGAATTACGCCTATATAACTATAGTAAAGTGTGTGTCATAAGTGTACCAGTTTGCTTTTTACTTAACAGTTTATACATGATCTTCTTTTATATAAATGTATATGGAGATATTTGGATAGCATAATTGTTATAGGTCCGAAAAGTGGAATCGACGATCACTGTTCAAATTACATTAGTCTGTTACATTCATTCACATAAATCTTTAGGAAATGAATTAATCCATTATTTCTCTATTTCAGCTATGGATTAAGTAGCAACGTAAACTGGTATATCTAGCCTTGGATAGGAGCCACTCTATAAGGTTTACTCTGAATTCAAATCTGTGGAGTAGGCAAGAATAAATCCCCTGTACTATCTTTCCCAAGAAGTCATGACAATTTACAATTGATAAAGAGATGGAATTTTTCTACGTCATGAAAGGACATAGCATTAAAAAATGCGCTCCATATAATGACTCCTAGAAACACTTTCTGCACATGCATAAAATTCTTTTTTATTATATACTTGTAGTCTATCAACCATATAGACCGATACAAACACAAACCAAAGCATCGCCTATGTTTGAAGCATGCGTACACAGAGCGTGTCTATGCGTATATTTATACGCAAAGATACATATACTAATGTCCTAAAGAAGAGTATATATAAATGGATACGCAACGCACACAAACAGACATTGCTAAATACAGGCACTAAAAATCTCATATACGCAAGCAAGAGTAATGAACACATATGCATAGACTTTAGAATGGAATCACACCCATTCATCTGCAGTTATACTATTTGACTTACACACGCATATGCAGAGTCAGACATTGTGACGAATAGTTGGTGGGGAAAAGTGTGCGCGTGTCTAAATGATGGCTGGGCAAATAAGGAGTGCGTTGTATTGAATTACAGATTGTGCTGTTTGCAATATCACAAATGAAATTACTTTCACCCACCGATAAGCACATCATCCGTCACCTGATCTGTTTGCATCGTCTTGTTCCCGCTAACCGATCGCCATTTTGTTCACGATGATCGATCCACATTTTCGTGCCACTCTTGCTAAACGTTAGATATTTTTCTTTACTTTTTCTTCGAAACTTTTTTCATACGCCATTCTTTCTCTTTCTTTTTCTATTTAACCCTCTCTTTTGATCGTTCTGTTACATGTGTGTGTGAAACGATATTATATCCTTACCATTAAGGGTGAAGTATCGTTAAAAAATAGAGTGCAGATGTCAGTAGTCGTCTTCTTTTTATTTCTAGCCTTATGATTTGTTTAGTCGCCAGCATCTATAGAGACTGATCAAACTTTTCGAATGCAGCTGTTATCACTCCGCGCAAACTTGTTAATTCCCGCTTTTTCTCATCTCTATCACCACTTTCTCAAATCTCCCCCATTCTCTCTCTCTCTGTCTCTCACACACACACAGACTTTCACTCTCAAACAAAAACATAAACATACACACTTTCACACACGGTTTATTTCTCTTACCTCACTTCCTTATTTTATTTGTATTCCTTCATTTTCTTAACATCATTTGATTCGATCTCTACGATTTTTTTTTTGTTTTTTTCTTCTCATTTTAATTCGTTTTGGGCTTACGGCTACTTCACTTTGAAATGCCGGTTTCCATACGATCACCGAAGTTAAGCAAGGTTGAGCCTGGTCAGTATCAAGATGGGTGACTGCTTAAGAATACCAGGTGCTGTTGGATGTGCGAGTGGTGTAATGGATACTGGCTATGAATTGTTAAGCGGCAAACCAAGTTCAAATTCCCATTGGGTTCGTTATGTTCACTTATGCGCAAATACGCTTTGGAAAGATATGAATCCACCTCTTCTCCCCCAGCTGTGGGGGAGAAGAGGTTAATTAATTAGTAAACCATTTTTATCTCCCCAAAAAAGTACTTAGAATCTAAAAATATTTTCTGGCTTTAAATAACGTGCAATAAGCCGTAACAATTATTTCCTTAAGCTCACAACCCCCCCTCTCTCTCTCTCTCTTCTTTTCAATGATGTTATTTATTTCATCTCATATAATTATTTCTAAAAACTCCTCACGGAATTGCTCCCAAATGAAAGAGAATATAGTTGATTTCATAATATTTACAAATATCCATACTTTTTTTTTTTTTTTTTTTTTTGTTAATCAAATATTGTACCATGGAATAGTTTTCAAATATTGTACCATGGAATAGTTTTCTTCGTCGATATTCTTTTAAGAAAATATTTTTCATTTAATTTTTCGTTCTTTTAAGCACATATCTGGTGAATCTTTGTTCTTTATCAAGTTGTATATCATATCAACATGACAATTTCAACATAGGAATCAAAGTTTTGGGCAAATAATATTAATCTATTTAAGTTTCCTGCTATGGTTCCCTGGATTGGTTACATCCATCTATTATTTAGCGATTTATCATTCACTACAATATAATTCTGATTTTCGAAACTGCATTGAACTTGAAATTATTTTTCCTATTCTCAAATTAAGATTCTGACTGATGCTTTTTTTGTATGTTTGAACCTGGGTTCCAGACTAATCAACTACCCTACCCATTCGTGCCCCTACGCATTTCGGCATCAATAATTATAGGTGACATCGTCTTGTCGTCAAAGAAATTGAAAAAATGGTTAGTTCCTTTTACTACTCCAAAAAGTACCCGATCCCCCACTGCTATTCTCTACCTTTACAAGAATCAGATCAGATAAAAAATGGAGTACTGCTACCATACCTGGGTACCCTACACCCCCTTTCCCAGAGTTGAAACATTACCAGCCACTTGCTATTATATCACTATTTTCATGGCAATGTTCACACGAGCTACATTTTTTGGTTCCACTAGCCCAGAACTTCACAGCTAAAATCCGCCATGTCATATACACTGAGTCGAAACTTCCACATTCCTTTCGTATTACATTGGTAAGGAAGAAGTTCCGCTCAGACAGCTTCTTCCCCAGAAGAACAAACTCCCGAAAGATGTCTCTCCGATCCCTACAATCTAAAAGTTGTAATGAATAGGAACTGTACGACAGCTTTAAACAATTTTAAACATTCTATAATTTAAGTTTTGGGATATCGTGTCATGTGAATTATCCTCTTCTTTATACTGCCTTTCAAATTATAACGTTATTATAGATTATCCTATTATTATAATGAATGTTATTATTATAAAAGTCAGATGACATACGCGTTGCTTTTATTCACAGATGTCTGCCTTCAAAGTTTACACAATCTTACAAAACTTTTAAGACATTTCAGAAATATTAAGTCAGTGTTCCAAGTTGATATTGACCAATCGGGATATAAAAAATAGCACAGACAGACAGAAGCAATTTTAGTTACTAGAAATTTCAAACCGTATCAATGTGTAATTCATAACATTTCAAATATCAGTTTCCATATCACAAAACTATTTCTTGATACTATAAAGAAATCAAAAGTTTTTTTTTATTTTTAACCACTCATACCTCATGTGTGTGCGTGCAAAATAATACTACTTTTTTATGCGCCGTGTCCCTTCAGAACGTAGGCGATCACGGCCCTCCACATATTCCTGTCTCGTGCAGTTCTTAATAAGTTTTGTCTTTTTATTATTTTTCCGAAACCCTATTCTACCATCCAATTACTCGAGCTCATCACGTATGTTACACACTGCTTCCCCCCCCCTCTCCATCTTTCCTTTAATCTGTCCTGTCCAAAAGCCAGGCAGAGTATTATGAGACAGGAGGATTTCTTTGGTAACAAAGAGTACTACGTGACATCTGTCATCCTTTACAGCAGCAAATGTTGGACGGCTCCTCAAAGATGAAGAAGAGACTCGAGGCAATGGTTCTACAGAAGGATGCTAAGGATATCGTGGACAGAGCGTGTGAGCAACGATGAGGTTTTGGAGGAGATGCAAACAAGGACGAAGCTTATACTTAACATCAGGATGAGGCAGCCGAAATTTCTGGAACACGTAATGAGAAAAGAAGGCTTGGAGAATTGATACTCGCAGGTCAAATAGAGGGAAAGATAGATGGGGGAAAGCAATGCATGACATACCTTAGCGGGCTTAAGCAAGTGGATGACAAAACATGGCCTGGGGGAAGTAGCAAAGGGACAAAACTTAGAGAGCTACAAGGGATAGGGGCAAGTAGAGAGCTTATGATCGCCTACGTCCTGAAAGGACACGGCACATAAAAAGAAAAGAATATCTTTCTCCCTTTCTCATTACGTGCTACAGAAATTTCAGCTGTCTCTTCCTGATGTTAAATATAAGTTTCCTTTTTGTTTTCATTTTTTCCAAAACCCCGTCGTTTGGTGTTCGGTCCATGCTATTCTCAGCTTTTTTCTGTAGGATCACAATTCTGCTGCTTCAAGTCACTTCTTCACCTTTGAGGAGATTGTCCAGCGAAGTGTTTTTATCTTTTGCATGTTTCTTTCTACGCTAATATTGTAAATATTTTTATATTAATAAATAAATGTAGTTATCAATTTCTCATCAAAAGTTTTTTTTATGACACACCCTGTATTTATATATATATATATATATATATATATATATATATATATATATATATATATCCTCATACACCCTTATTGTTCTTAAAATTTTTATGCACAAAAACAAATTTATCACTTTCCTATGTAAACAGCCAAAAAAGAAAATACAATACCAAAACTATGATGTCATACACAGTATAATTGTTTTATGTATGGGGGGGCGTTTGAACATGGGATTTAGTTTCACACGTGACTGAATCTTATGGCGTATATATACATTCTGAAATTTCTGAGAGGATGGAATCATGAAGCTGCCTCAAAATGGTGAAATGTAGTGGAACAAAATGTCACATATGTACAAATATCTAAATATTGTCTTTAAATTTCGCTTAAAAATCGCTATGAACTTTTGTTCCGACACAATATTTTCAATTTTTTGTAGTAAATTTTCATCAATAAGAAATTTTAGCTTTATTTTAATGAAATATAATAATCTTTGCTCTTTCGAATTAATTTATTCCCACTAAATCTGAATAGACTCGAAACCAAAGAAAAATGATTTCTGTTAATTTTTTAAAATGTGATTTGAAACAAATATTTATTTACATATTTCGATTTCAAACAAGGCGTGAATTCATCTCATATCTGAATACAAAACCATAGCGCTAAACTTTTCCAAGAAGTCATGGCAATTGACAAACAGTAAAGAAAGGAGAGTTATGATCCTGTATGGACATAGCAATTAAAAATAATTATTTGCTATATAAAATTAGCGGCATTCTCACAATTATGAAATCTATATCGTGCGAATCTCGCCAGAATCTATGTTACATATCTATAAGACTACCATTCATCCATTCCACACATGGTCCGGTTCCCGTGCTATTTACCTTGATCTCCTTGTAAAATCCATAGAAGAATAAGCAATATCATTGATCCCGATCTGGCGGTTAGGGTTCAGTCGCATTCCCACTGCCGAAAGTTTGCATCTCTGTGTCTTTTCTATAAATACTTTTGTACTAATTGTTCGGATGAGCTTTTCTCTATGGTACCTAGACTTTTAGAATTTAAGCGCGGTACTAAACTGGCGCCAAGATCTCATCAATTTACAGTTGGGTAGATGTAACCGTAATTTCTATGCTAACAGTTTATTTTCCCGTACTTCTTGTTTGTGGAACTACCTTCTAGCTCCGTGCTTTCCAACCAACTTTAATCTGCAAAAGTTTAAATGCAATGTCAATCACTATCTACTATCCTCCTTATTATTCTTCTCTTTCCGCTCATTATTATTTTTTCTGTTCCTAATTCTTCGACACCCTGTAAGCCCTTGTGTCTTAATGGCTTTACTGCCTTGCACGGAGTGATAACGATCAAAAAATAAATGATAGTGAAAAGTCACTTTATTTGATGCAAGATCACCAAATATGGAGGGACCATGTGACGATTGAACTCAAATACAACCAAATAGATTACAAAGCTGCTAAACATTAAAAAAAAAAAAAGATTTGCACCCGAGTGATAATGTTTTACATTGGATTTTGTTAATATTATTAAAGTCCGTGCTGATTGAAAATTATTTTAAGCCAAATTATTTTCTATTAAACAAGAATAGGTAAGTAATTTTAACACTTTGGTGTCATAATTTTTGGAAACAAATTAACGTGGGTTTTTACCTAAGCGAAAATGTTTTATGAAGAATTCAGTATAATGACAATGCGGAATTTACATATTTTTAATGTCCACGCACTTGGTGTGAACAAGCCACACTGTCAACATATCATTGTATCTAACGTCCATACCATTTGTAAGATATGGTCAGGTGGTCTCAGTGCTTACCCACCTGTTCCTCGCTTCAAATACAAGGCAGATTAAATAGCAACATACTATGTCAAGTGAAGAGAAACGACATCATTAGTCAATGTTGACTGCTTAAAAGTCATAGAGCAATTACTTTTTACGGATATCGGTTACTTTAAAAGTATAACGCTGATCGCTTAAGCGAAAAACATTTTGAAATCCGATATGCCACTTTATTCCATGAGCGTGCGAACGTCAGCTATTTTCGAAATAACTTTTGGTGGCTTCAAACTCGATCTACAACATTATAAAGTTGGCCCTATGCCGTCTAACATCATTAGGGAATGTTGTATAAATACCTAAAAGAAAAGGCTATGAATTTTGTAAACCCAAATTTCGTTCACCGATTCGTCGACTAACGTTTT